ACGAACTTCGCATATCGCCGTCTAAAGGTACCTTAACCTGGAAGTTCTGCACAAACTATACCTTGTTCGGAAGCTTGTGATAAGGCCAACAAGCTGGCGAAAGGACAGGTCTTGAAACCAAGTGGTTGCGGTGAAAATTTAAGATATAGCGCATCAATGCCAGTAGTACCCCTATGTGCAGTCAGTCTAACAGCAATGCCTGCAAGCGCCCGCGACACGAACTTCGTATATGGCGGTCTAAAGGTACCTTAACCTGGAAAGTTCTGCACAAACTATACCTTGTTTTGAAGCTTGTGATGAGGCCAACAAGCTGGCAAAAGGACAGGTCTTGAAACCTAGTGGTTACGGAGAAAATTCAAGATATAGCGCATCAATGCCAGTAGTACCCTTATATGCAATCAGTCTAACAGCAATGCCTGCAAGCGCCCGCGACACGAAATTTGTATATGGCGGTCTAAAGGTCCCCTTGGAAGTTCTGCACAAACTATACCTTGTTCGGAAGCTTGTGATAAGGTCAACAAGCTGGCAAAAGGACAGGTCTTGAAACCCAGTGGTTGCGGAGAAAATTTAAGATATAGCGCATCAATGCCAGTAGTACCCTTATATGCAATCAGACTAACAGCAATGCCTGCATGCGCCCGGGACACAAACTTCGTATATCGCGGTCTAAAGGTACCTTAACCTGGAAGTTCTGCACAAACTATACCTTGTTCGAAAGCTTGTGATGAGGCCAACAAGCTGGCAAAAGGACAGGAATTGAAACACAGTGGTGGCGGAGAAAACTCAAGATATAGCGCATCAATGCCAGTAGTACCCCTATGTGCAGTCAGTCTAAAAGCAATGCCTGCAAGCGCCCGCGACACGAACTTCGTATATCGCGGTCTAAAGGTATCTTAACCTGAAAAGTTCGGCACAAACTATACCTTGTTCGGAAGCTTGTGATAAGGCCAACAAGGTGGCAAAAGGTACCTTAACCTTGAAACAAAGTGGTTGCGGAGACAATTCAAGATAGCGGCAACTGGTGCAACTACAGAGAATATCGCTCCCACATTCTCCGAAAATATCGATTCAGATCTGCATCAGATTCTTCTAAAAAGCAGAGTAACGCCACATGTTGATCTGAGGCAACAGATGCAACAAGATATAAACCTGGATATTCTGGATGAAGCAAGGAAGAGTCTGTTTCAGTTTGCAATAACCAAGCACACCGAAAGAATACAACATGGCGACGTACAGAACAGTACGCAAGGTATGGGTACCAGCGATCAGTTGATATTAAAATCAAGACGCTCGGTAGAGGCTGTCTCTGACGATATCCTGGAATTATATCTCTACCTAACTGATGACCATAGCAAGTTTCCCAAAGCCTGCTTGTCTTCCTCTAAACTAAAAACAACCAAGATGGAATCTACAACTAGGCAAGCTACTACGGATGCAGGGAACAGTGACAAAACGTGTACCCCCCAAACCAAAACTGCAACCAATAAGGTTACCCAGGAAATTCCCTTCAACTCTGAAATACGGGACTTAAGATTCTCTATTGACGAATTAAGAAATGAAGTGAGATCAATGAGAGTTGAACTTAATGAAAACCTCGATCTAAAATCACAGATTCAGGCACTGGAGAGTGAACGTAAAAGCTTGCAAACCGCCATTGATTTGCTAACAAGCAAAAAATCGCCACAGCAAAACTGTTCCATAGCAACCGCATCGTCTTCTTCAACCATCGACAAAGACATATCAACAAAACGTCAGCAACCTCAACTACGGACTCCCACAAATCACAAAAGCCAAACACAGATGGTACATCCAAGTATTTCCGAAGTGACAGCAACACCTATTGTTCCTTTGACAAATCGCTTCACTGCACTGACAGATCAAGCTGGAGTCGACTCCGAAGAGCCCACACCAGAGGAAGTAATTGATCAGTATTACAATGAGCTGATTGACCAGCCAAAGAAAGCCAACCCTCCAAAGAATTCTGCATCTACAGTCCCAACTTCGAATGCGACCGGAGCATCGTTCCGACAGCAGATGGATGACTATCGAGCCAAGCAGACGATGAAGTTTAAAGACATACCTACAAAGAGCGTAATCTTGCTAGGTGACTCCATGGTCAAACGAATCCAAGGACATAAACTGAGCCAGTCTAAATCAGTAACTGTCATCTCACGTCCAGGAGCCAGAATTGAGCACCTTTCAACCATGATTATGGACGGATCTATCCAACTCCAAACAACTGAGCTGGTTGTTCATGTGGGTACGAACAACACTCGCGATGATGCAGAAACGATATCTAAGAAATTGGAATCGTTGTGTGAAATGGCACAACAGAAATGTGCCATCAACAACATCACCATATCATCGATAATACACAGAAGCCAGGAGAACAAGAGAGAATATGACAAAATAGTCTCTACCAATAAACTCATCCGACAGATCTGCTGTACACATATCTGGAAATTCATCGACAATGACAACATCCATCAACGACTACTGGCATCCGACGGGGTCCATCTTGGTCGTGCTGGTATCACTGTGTTCGCTCGCAACCTCATCAGACATCTACGGGGTCTACCACCAGTCACAAATCACACAAAGACGCCTGCAATCAACAATGATAGACCTATACGCCATTGCGGACGTTTGAATTCACTGGTTCCATCATGTAGAACTTCGTCTACACTTCAGCACCGAGATGGCCAACCACCTCCCACCTATGCCCAGGCTGTCAGTACCAGGCCTGGCTCAAGCAGTGACGTTCCTGTACATAGATATCAGGATTTCCATCACGAGGACTGGAAAACACGGAAAAGGCATCTGACTCCGAGTCAACATGTGCAGCCCCTTTGTCCCCTGATTCGTCGTCGTCCATTGCCATCTCAGGAAGCCGAGTGGTTCCAGTACCAGAGAAAGAATCGTCTGTTCGTGAAGAAATCGTCAGTGAACAATCGTCCGTGAACTACTCGACACAAGGTCTGCAATATAGCTACAATGAACTGGTTGAAGGCAGTATCCCTCCCATTAAAACAAAAGGTATTAAATTTGGTCATCTTAACATTCATAGCCTTGTCAGTAAGATAGACGAACTTCGTCTCTTGCTGAAGCATAGACCTTTCGATGTTATATGTCTGAACGAAACGCTGTGTGACTCTAGTATCTCGGATGAGGAGTTATGTATTGACGGTTTCTCCATACTAAGAAGTGACAGAACTAGACATGGTGGCGGTGTAGCTATTTATGTATCAAATGATGTCCAGGTTACCAGGCGACATAATCTTGAGTCTGCGGCTCTTGAAAGTGTGTGGGTTGAAGTGAAGTATAACAAATATAAATCGCCTTTCCTTGTTGGTGCATTTTATAGGCCACCGAGCACGGGTATTGATTTCTTTGATAAAATAGATGAAGTCTTAGCAACCGCCTCAACTGAAAAAAAGGAGTGCATTTTATTGGGTGATTTTAACTGTAATTTTATTGATGGTGTCACTAATATCAATACTGATAACTTGAAATTTTATACTTCTCTATATGGATTTGCTCAAGTGATCACCAGCCCTACAAGGGTCACCAGTCATAGCAACACTCTCATCGACTTAATATTTGTAAATAATCCAGATGTTTTTACTGATAATGGTGTATTTTGTACTAGTATAAGTGATCATTTTTTAACTTATTCAGTTCGTTGTTTTAATTTTAAATCATCCACTCAACAAGGTCATAATTATATTGAGTATAGACCATTCAAGAAGATGATTGTCCAAGATTTTATTCATGATTTGGAAAATGTACCTTGGAATGCTATTGTTAACATAACTGACATTGAACTAGCCTGGCAAACCTGGTTAAATAGTTTTATGGAAATTGTGAACCTGCATGCTCCACTCTGTAAAAAGAAAATTAGGCAAAATGCTTGTCCTTGGATCACAGACGACATTGTTAAGCTGATGAAAGAACGTGATCAGATCCATAAGGCTGCCGTCAAACATAATTGTCAGAATTTATGGAATGAGTATAGATGTTTACGTAATAAAGTAACACACATGATGCAGAAGCAAAAGACTGATCATTACTGTGGTCTGATCCGTGATAATGCTGGTAACAGCAAAAAGATCTGGAGTTGCCTTAAAGAAGTAACCCCGAAGCAAGGCCGTATTCTCCCCAGTTCGATTGAGGTCAATGGATCAGACTGCAGTGACAGTGATCAGATTGCTAATGCATTTAATGATTATTTTGTAACTTGTGCTCAAAACGTCACAAAAGACTTGCCTGTCACAACACCTACTGTGTTCACCGATGTATCAGGTGGTAACGATTGTGTTTTTAATCTCAGGCCGGTCTCGCCTGCTTTTGTTGAAAAAACTCTCCTGACTATGAATGTTAACAAAGCTACAGGGGATGATCAACACAGCTGTCGTTTACTAAAAGTTGCTTGCCCTGCCATCCTTCGTTCCTTAACCAAAATCATAAATATGTCCTTGATGCATGGACATGTTCCCGAAGGATTGAAGAGTGCCAAAGTGGTACCAATCTTTAAGTCTGGCAATACCTCTGATGTAGGTAACTATCGTCCCATTTCTATCTTGCCAATTGTAGGTAAGATCTTAGAGCGAGCCGTTTGTGATCAGTTGTATGAATTTATCAATGAACATGATCTAATGCATCCTAATCAGTCAGGATTTCGCCCAATGCACTCCACAACCACAATTCTTGCCAAACTGGTCAATCAATGGAGCAGGAATGTTGAACGTGGCGACCTGACAGGAGTGGCTTTCATAGACCTCAGAAAAGCTTTCGATACAGTCAACCACGAAATTCTTTTGACTAAATTAAGCTCACTTGGCTGTTCAGCGAGTGCTCTGAAGTGGTTTGCTAGCTACCTGTCAGGTCGCACACAAAGAGTTTATTTGAACAAAGCCTATTCCGAATCTCAGAGTGTTGTGAATGGTGTTCCACAGGGCTCTATCCTAGGCCCACTGTTGTTCTCTATTTATGTTAACTCTATGCCTTCGTCGGTTAATAACGGTATTGTTGACATGTACGCCGACGACACAACTCTCACAGTTAATGGCAAGACGACTGCGGATGTCGAACACAAATTATCTGTTGCCTTGATGCAGATCTCTAGCTGGCTGAATACAAATCGTCTTGTTTTAAATTATGATAAAACCAATGTGATGATCATAGGATCTAGAGCAAAACTCAAAGACGTCGTCGATTTCAGAGTGGAGGTAAATGACATTGTTCTGAAAAGAGTTCATAAAACCAAATGTCTAGGGGTGATCATTGATGATGAGATGAAATGGACTGATCAGAAAGACAAGGTTGTGAGTACTGTACAAGCAAAATTGGGTATTATTCGCCGGGTGAAACCATATATTTCGGCTGACTCTGTCAAATTACTTTATAATGCGTTTATCTTACCCCATTTTGATTACTGTTCGCAAATCTGGTCAGAAAGATTCAACATGCACACAGACAAGCTGTTTAAACTCCAAAAACGTGCTGCCAGATTAATTCTAGGTAAAGGGTACGATACTCCTTCAAGTGATTTATTTAATACACTAGGCTGGATGCCGTTACCAAAACGATTTAACTACCTACGAGCAGTACTCATGTACAAATGTACCAACAATCTTGCCCCTACCTACCTGACAGAAGATTTCATTAAAATATCTGACATGCACCATCACTCCACCAGACAAGCAACTGAGGACACCCTGTTCATTCCTAAATATAAATCAGAATGCTTGAAGCATAGTCCTTTTGTTGCTGGGGCTACTGTCTGGAATAGTTTAAATAAAGAAACACGTTCAGCAGCCTCAATTGGTTCTTTTAAGTCAATAATGAAACTTAACTTTTTAACCGTTTAGGTTGCTTCAAATTATTGTTTTAATTGTACTTTTTTTAGCATGTTAAGTGTACTCAATTTTATTGTCTTTATCACTTACAATTTTCTTCTTCTTCTTCTTTTTTTTTTGGGGGGGGGCGTTTGTTGGGTTGTTTGTTTGTTTGTTGGGTTGGGGGTGTTGGGGTGTTTGTTTGTTTGTTTGTTTGGGTGTTTGTTTGTTGGGGTGTTTGTTTGTTTGTTTGTTTGGTTGGGTGCTTGTTTATTTGTTTGTTGGCTTGCTTGCTTGTTTTGTTTTTGATTTTAGCATGTTAGGGATGCATGTACTCATTTTTACTGTTTTTATTATTTACAATAGTTTTTTAAACTTGTTTTTCGTTTGTATTTGCATGTAGGACTTATTTTGTGATCTTATTCTTAAATTAAACTTCTTAATCTGCACTTTTGTCTATCGTCGTTTTCATATACACATTTATATTGTTTATGTTAAACCCGTTCATGTTTCTTTTATTTAATGATTATTATTTAACGGTTATAGTTTTATATGATCTTATTTCCTATTTGTTTTGATAATTTTATACACTTTTAATCCTTTAAATTGTTAGTTTTGTTTTATTAATTTTTAAATTATATGCTCAGGGCCCCATGGAAGACCACATTATTTTGTGAACGGGCTACCCTGGTAAAAGATCAGAAATAAATAAATAAATAAATAAATAAATGCCAGTAGTACCCCTATGTGCAGTCAGTCTAACAGCAATGCCTGCAAGCGCCCGCGACACGAACTTCGTATATCGCGGTGTAAAGGTACCTTAAACTTGCAATTTCATCACAAACTATACCTTGTTCAGAAGCTTGTCATGAGGCCAACAAGCTGGCAAAAGGCACTATAACCTTGAAACAAAGTGGTTGCGGAGACAATTCAAGATATAGCGCATCAATGCCAGTAGTACCCCTATGTGCAGTCAGTGTAACAGCAATGCCTGCAAGTGCCCGCGACACGAACTTCGTATATCGCGGTCTAAAGGTACCTTTACCTGGGAAGTTCTGCACAAACTATACCTTGTTCGGAAGCTTGTGATGAGGCAAACAAGCTGGCAAAAGGACAGGTCTTGAAACCCAGTGGTTGCGCTGAAAATTTAAGATATAGCGCATCAATGCCAGTAGTACCCCTATGTGAAGTCAGTCTAACAGCAATGCCTGCAAGCGCCCGCAACTCGAACTTCGTATATCGCGGTCTAAAAGTACCTTAACCTGGGAAGTTCTGCACAAACTATACCTTGTTCGGAAGCTTGTGTTGAGGCAAAGAAGGTGGCAAAAGGACAGGTCTTGAAACCTAGTGGTTGCCTTGAAAATTTAAGATATAGCGCATCGATGCCAGTAGTACCCATTTGTGCAGTCAGTCTAACAGCAATGCCTGCAAGCGCCCGCGACACGAACTTCGTATATCGCGGTCTAAAGGTACCTTAACCTGGGAAGTTCTGCACAAACTATACCTTGTTCGGAAGCTTATGATGAGGCCAACACGCTGGCAAATGGACAGGTCTTGAAACCAAGCTGTTGCGGAGACAATTCAAGATATAGCGCATCAATGCCAGTAGTACCCCTATGTGCAGTCAGTCTAACAGCAATGCCTGCAAGCGACCGCGACACGAACTTCGTATATCGCGGTCTAAAGTTACCTTAAACTTGCAATTTCATCACAAACTATACCTTGTTCAGAAGCTTGTGATGAGGCCAACAAGCTGGCAAAAGGCACTATAACCTTGAAACAAAGTGGTTGCGGAGACAATTCAAGATATAGCGCATCAATGCCAGTAGTACCCCTATGTGCAGTCAGTCTAACAGCAATGCCTGCAAGTGCCCGCGACTCGAACTTCGCATATCGCCGTCTAAAGGTACCTTAACCTGGAAGTTCTGCACAAACTATACCTTGTTCGGAAGCTTGTGATGAGGTTAACAAGCTGGCAAAAGGACAGGTCTTGAAACCAAGTGGTTGCGGTGAAAATTTAAGATATAGCGCATCAATGTCAGTAGTACCCCTATGTGCAGTCAGTCTAACAGCAATGCCTGCAAGCGCCCGCGACACGAACTTCGTATATGGCGGTCTAAAGGTACCTTAACCTAGGAAGTTCTGCACAAACTATACCTTGTTTGGAAGCTTGTGATGAGGCCAACAAGCTGGCAAAAGGACAGGTCTTGAAACCCAGTGGTTGCGGAGAAAACTTAAGATATAGCGCATCAATGCCAGTAGTACCCTTATATGCAATCAGTCTAACAGCAATGCCTGCATGCGCCCGGGACACAAACTTCGAATATCGCGGTCTAAAGGTACCTTAACCTGGAAGTTCTGCACAAACTATACCTTGTTCGGAAGCTTGTGATGAGGCCAACAAGCTGGCAAAAGGACAGGTCTTGAAACCAAGTGGTTGCGGTGAAAATTTAAGATATAGCGCATCAATGTCAGTAGTACCCCTATGTGCAGTCAGTCTAACAGCAATGCCTGCAAGCGCCCGAGACACGAAATTCGTATATGGCGGTCTAAAGGTCCCCTTGGAAGTTCTGCACAAACTATACCTTGTTCGGAAGCTTGTGATAAGGCCAACAAGCTGGCAAAAGGACAGGTCTTGAAACCCAGTGGTTGCGGAGAAAATTTAAGATATAGCGCATCAATGCCAGTAGAACCCTTATATGCAGTCAGTGTAACAGCAATGCCTGCAAGTGCCCGCGACACGAACTTCGTATATCGCGGTCTAAAGGTACCTTTACCTGGGAAGTTCTGCACAAACTATACCTTGTTCGGAAGCTTGTGATGAGGTTAACAGGCTGGCAAAAGGACAGGTTTTGAAACCAAGTGGTTGCGGTGAAAATTTAAGATATAGCGCATCAATGCCAGTAGTACCCCTATGTGCAGTCAGTCTAACAGCAATGCCTGCAAGCGCCCGCGACACGAACTTCGTATATGGCGGTCTAAAGGTACCTTAACCTGGAAAGTTCTGCACAAACTATACCTTGTTTGGAAGCTTGTGATGAGGCCAACAAGCTGGCAAAAGGACAGGTCTTGAAACCCAGTGGTTGCGGAGAAAATTTAAGATATAGCGCATCAATGCCAGTAGTACCCTTATATGCAATCAGTCTAACAGCAATGCCTGCATGCGCCCGGGACACAAACTTCGTATATCGCGGTCTAAAGGTACCTTAACCTGGAAGTTCTGCACAAACTATACCTTGTTCGAAAGCTTGTGATGAGGCAAACAAGGTGGCAAAAGGACAGGTCTTTAAACCCAGTGGTTGCGGTGAAAATTTAAGATATAGCGCATCAATGCCAGTAGTACCCCTATGTGCAGTCAGTCTAACAGCAATGCCTGCAAGCGCCCGAGACACGAAATTCGTATATGGCGGTCTAAAAGTCCCTTGGAAGTTCTGCACAAACTATACCTTGTTCGGAAGCTTGTGATAAGGCCAACAAGCTGGCAAAAGGACAGGTCTTGAAACCAGTGGTTGCGGAGAAAAATTAAGAAATAGCGCATCAATGCGAGTAGTACCCCTATGTGCAGTCAGTCTAACAGCAATGCCTGCAAGAGCCCGCGACACGAACTTCGCATATCGCCGTCTAAAGGTACCTCAACCAGAGAAGTTCTGCAAAACTATACCTTGTTTGGAAGCTTGTGATGAGGCCAACAAGCTGGCAAAAGGACAGGTCTTGAAACCCAGTGGTTGCGGAGAAAATTTAAGATATAGCGCATCAATGCCAGTAGTACCCTTATATGCAATCAGTCTAACAGCAATGCCTGCATGCGCCCGGGACACAAACTTCGTATATCGCGGTCTAAAGGTACCTTAACCTGGAAGTTCTGCACAAACTATACCTTGTTCGAAAGCTTGTGATGAGGCAAACAAGGTGGCAAAAGGACAGGTCTTTAAACCCAGTGGTTGCGGTGAAAATTTAAGATATAGCGCATCAATGCCAGTAGTACCCCTATGTGCAGTCAGTCTAACAGCAATGCCTGCAAGCGCCCGAGACACGAATTCGTATATGGCGGTCTAAAGGTCCCCTTGGAAGTTCTGCACAAACTATACCTTCTTCGGAAGCTTGTGATAAGGCCAACAAGCTGGCAAAAGGACAGGTCTTGAAACCCAGTGGTTGCGGTGAAAAATTAAGATATAGCGCATCAATGCGAGTAGTACCCCTATGTGCAGTCAGTCTAACAGCAATGCCTGCAAGAGCCCGCGACACGAACTTCGCATATCGCCGTCTAAAGGTACCTCAACCAGAGAAGTTCTGCACAAACTATACCTTGTTCGAAAGCTTGTGATGAGGCCAACAAGCTGGCAAAAGGACAGGAATTGAAACACAGTGGTGGCGGAGAAAACTCAAGATAT